CTACCAGGGTCTCCATGGATTTTTGCTGCTGTCTGGAGCACCAGGCTTGCTGGGGGTCTGTGAGATGGGGAATGTGGAAGGACAGAGAGCGCCGGTCACCATCTGAGCCCCATGGAGGTTCTGCAGCAGCTGTAGTTGGACATCTGCCTGTGTGTGCAGGGATAGGAAGCTCACGGAGTCCTGGATGCAGGTGGAGTAGCCATCTCTATGGGCTTGGCTGGAGGCATCTGGAATAGACAAGACACATGTCAGTTATATGAGGTCCACTGTCATCTTCACAACCCTCAATCCTAACATCTCTCAGCAAGACCTACAAGATCTAGAAGGAGGAGGACACTTACTTCTCTCAGCCATGTGCTGCTGCAGGAAGGTGACTGTCATCTCCAGTATGTCGGCCTTCTCCGGTTTTGAGGGCAGTTGATGTTTCTGGAACTCTTTCTCCAGTAGGAGACGCAGCTGCTCGATGCTGCTGTTAATGCGATCTCTCCTCATCTTCTCAATGACGGGTTTCCTTAGCTGCACAAAAGAAGATAAGAGCTGGTTAGTGACCACATAGTGACTGCACGGATACAGAGACTAATGTCAGGAGAAACAAAAGGGAAAGCTAAGAGGACATTGAATGGGAAGACATAGAGGACAAGGGATCTGTTGAGGTGACAGGGTATGAATGTCTAGGAGGTTATCTGATGGGAAGACGTAGAGGGGTGACAGAATGAGGGACCTTGGTGGTGTCAAAATGGGAAGGTCTAGACCCAGATGGGAAGATCTAGAGGGCGACAGGCTAAGGGATCTTGGAGGTGCCAGCATGGGGAGATCAAGAGGGGTGATGGGATGAGGGAACTTGGATGTGTCAGGATGGGAATGTCTAGGAGGTTATTGGATGGGAGAACCTAGAAGAGCGAGAGAATGAGGGAACTTGGAGGTGTCAAGATGGGAATGTCTAGGAGGTTATTGGATGGGAGAACCTAGAGGGGCAACAGAATGAGGTAACTTGGAGGTATCAAGATGGGAATGTCTAGGAGGTTATTGGATGGGAGAACCTAGAGGGGAGACATAATGAGGGAACTTGGAGGTGTCAGGATGGGAAGATCTAGAAGGACTGGATGAAAAGATCTAGAGGGGTGACAGGATCAGGGATCTTGGAGGTGCCAGAATGGGGAGATCTACCGGGGTAACAGGATGAGGGACCTTGGAGGTGCCAGCATGGTAGACTTCGAGGGGTGACAGAATGGGGGATCTTGGAAGTGCGAGCATGAGGAGATCTAGAGGGGTGATGGGATGAGGGAACTTGGAGGTTCCAAGATAGGAAGATTTTGGAGGACAGGATGGAAGATCTAGAGGGGTGACAGGATGAGGGATTTTGGAGATGTGAGGATGGGAAGCTCTAGGTGGAAACAGATGAAATGATGGCGATGGAGACAGAAATCAAGGAACTAACAGGATTCTAGAGGGAAACTTACTTTTCTGGGTTGCTGAGTCAGCTGGCGGTCAGCACAGTGAAGTACAGGGCTGCTGGTAGGAGCCATGATATCCCGTCAGTGAGTGTAGAGCAGTTCCTGGGTTCAGTGTCCTCTCTGTAGAAGAGATTTCAGGGATGTGAAGTCACACAGCTCACCCTCCCCTCTATATACCGCTCACTCTGCATAATAATGTGTGAGGATCAGACTTTGCAGAGGTTCCCACACTCAGCAGCCAATCACAGAGCAGCGAGGACAATGGACGTGTGTCACACTGCAAGGTGGCATCTGGAGCCTCTAATAGGGGCAGAGGAGGGGGGAGAAAAATAATGGGACTTTCTGCTGAAAGAAGCTTGCAGTGTGGGAAAGGGCTACTTCTTCTATTATCTGATACCTGCAGAGAAGGAAAGCTTCTACAACAGCCGGCTACATGTGGACAACAAAATTCGTTGATGACTTCAGATGTCGCTGGGAAATAATGGCCTGGGACGCACCAATAAAAAAATAGCAGAGAAATTAATAGAAGATTGGAATTTTGTTTACCTTAAAACTATCACATATTTGGAAGCCATGCTTTGGGGCTAATCCTCGTGAATGATAAATCCGCTCATTTCCAGTATGGAAAGTGCTAGTTATTGCATTTAAACATTGTCCAGCGTGTTGGAAAGTCTCTGTGATCAGATTTGTTAATTAAGGATATCACCCCATTGAGAAATTAGATATAAGTTTTGTGGATGCCGAGACTCTCTGAATCCAGTGAGAATGACAATTTATCAGAGTTATTATTATTATTATTATTATACAGGATTTATGGCGCCAACAGTTTGCTCAGCGCTTTATAATATAAAGGGAGACAATACAGTTCAATACAAGAGGGTTAGGGGGGCCCTGATCCTGGGAGCTTACAATCTAAGAGTTAGGCCTCATTCACACAAGCGTTCTGTATGTCCATTTTTCATCTGTTCGTTTACAGATGAAAAAGGGAAACCCATGGATTTTCAGCCCCAGATCCAATCACTGACAAAATCATACAGACTTCACCTCCGCAACATCTCCAAGATACGCCCGTTCTTAACCTCGGAAACCACTAAGCAACTCATTCACTCCCTTATTATATCACGCCTCGACTACTGTAACTCCCTCCTCATTGGCCGACCTCATCTCAGGCTATCCCCACTCCAGTCGATCTTGAATGCTTCCAGACTCATCCACCATACTAACCGTTCTGTATCAGCCACCCCTCTCTGCCAATCCCTCAACTGGCCTCCACTCAGTGTCCTCCATCCCTCTCTGCCAATCCCTTCACTGGCTCCACCCCTCTCTGCCAATCCCTTCACTGGCTTCCACTCAGTGTCCTCCAACCCTCTCTGCCAATCCCTCCACTGGCCTCCACTCAGTGTCCTCCACCCCTCTCTGCCAATCCCTCCACTGGCTTCCAATTGCCCAACGGATAAAATTCAAAACACTAACACTGACGTATAAAGCCATTCATAACTCCGCCCCAAAGTACATCACCAATCTTGTCTCCAAATACCACCCAAACCGTACTCTCCACTCCTCACAAGACCTCCTACTCTCTAGCTCCCTTGTCTCCTCCTCCCATGCTCGTCTCCAGGATTTCTCAAGGGCTTCACCCATCCTCTGGAACTCCCTACCCCAAGCTATCAGGCTATCACCTACTCTGCTCACCTTTAGGCTCACTCTGAAAACCCATCTCTTCAGGGAAGCCTACCCCGACCCCAGCTAATACAGGAATCCACTACTCCTCTTACCACTCCATCCCCCCACAGCTAACTACCTCTTGTACCACTATCCCCTCCCTCCTAGATTGTAAGCTCCAAGGATCAGGGCCCTCTAATCTCTTGTATTGAACTGTATTGTTGCTGTATTGTCTCCCTCCATAATGTAAAGTGCTGAGCAAACTGTTGGTGCTATAGAAATCCTGTATAATAATAATAATTTCTATGAATTAGTGGATGGAAAAGGATGATCATACGTTTACATCTGTTAATGTCCGCATCCTTTAACATCCTTTTTTTTTAATGGAAGAAAACCCTATTTTTTTTTCATAAAAAAAAAAAAAACCCCGGAAAGGATGAAAAACGGATGTAAATGGATCTAAACAGGTGTAAAAACAGAAAAAAAACGAATGTAAATGGATGAAAAATGGATCTAAACAGATGTAAATGGGTCTAAGCAAATGTAAATGGAGAAGGATCTGGGGGGGAGTCAATGGTGGAGAAGGATCTGGGGGGGTCAATGGTGGAGAAGGATCTAGGGGAGTCAATGGTGGAGAAGGATCTGGGGGGAGTCAATGGTGGAGAAGGATCTGGGGGGGTCAATGGTGGAGAAGGATCTGGGGGGGTCAATGTTGGAGAAGGATCTGGGAGTTCTGGTAGATCACAAGCTTAATAACAACATGCAATGCCAAGCTGCGGGTTCTAAAGTGAGCAAAATCTTCCCTTGTATTAGGAGAGGTTTAGACTCCAGAGAGAGAGATATCATCCCCCCCCCCCCCCCCCCCCCCCCCGGTACAAATCACATTAATCCTCCCTGCACTGTAAATGTTTACATGTTATGTGCAATTAAACCATGGCAACATCTAATGTTTGTGTAGTATTATGTTCAGCAGACTGTGTTCTTCTATTGTTGTGACTTAGATGACGTTCAGAGCACATTTTATGCCCAATTCATGCAAAACTCCACGTAATCCCAAGGGGTTCACATACTTTTTCTTGCAACTGTAGAAGTCCAAGGAAAAAAGAAAATGTAAGTGGCCTCACAGAAGAAAAGACACTTCTACTGACCTATTCTGAAGCCGCTCCGGTCCGGCCACCAGGGGTGTCGTTTTTTTTTGGGGGGAAGCATTTTTTTAGGGGGGGGGGCAGCGCTAGCCCCCTGAAAGAAGGGACACTGGTTGTCCTGCACCTGTCCCTGTGTGGTAATCACGGCGAGGAGGATTCCTAGGGCCACCGGGGCTGGGCGAAAGAGCGGATTCAAGGAAGGGTGTGACGGTGAGTCTCTTTTCTTCTCTCCCCGGGGGGGTAACAGGTGAGGGGGTGGCTGGGTGAGCAGGCAGGGGCGTATTTACCACAAGGCAAACAAGGCACTTGCCTAGGGCGGCATTTTTTGTTAGGGGGACAGCACCTCCCCCCAGAAGAAGGGATGGAAGAAGGGACATGCACACCATGGGAACCAGGTGGGATCCAAGAGAGGCTGTGGGCTGCTTCATGATGAATGTAGAGCCTGACTCTCGATCCCGGGGATGTCTGGAGCTGTGAAGATGAGCATCTCTCTATCACCTGGAGGGGGTAGGGGAAGGTTCTTCCAGGTGGGGGGCAGGGGTGTTGTTGGCCAATGTCAGGCTCTCTCCGCAGGAAGGGGCGGGGGGGGGTTGTGTTGGTCGGTGTCCATGGGGGCAGACGATTTTTGTGTTGCCTAGGGCAGCACAAAACCTAAATATACCACTGAGAGCAGGCGTTGGGACAACAGATTTTTTTGTGTTGCCTAGAGCAGCACCAGGCCCGGACTGACCATTTGGACACTCAGGCACTTTTTTTTTTTGGGCAGCATTTTTTTAGGGGGGGGGGCGGCACTGGCCCCGTGAAAGAAGGGACACTGGTTGTCCTGCACCTGTTCCTGTGTGGTGAGCACAGCGAGGAGGATTCCTAGGGGCACCGGGGCTGGGTGAAAGAGCGGATTCAAGGAAGGGTGTGATGGTGAGTCTCTCTTCTTCTCTCCCGGGGGGGGGTGACGGGTGAGGGGGTGGCTGGGTGAGCAGGCAGGGGCGTATTTACCACAAGGCACTTGCCTAGGGCGGCATTTTTGTTAGGGGGACAGCACCTAAATACACCACTGTGAGCAGGCGTTGGGACAACAGATTTTTTGTGTTGCCTAGAGCAGCACCAGGCCCGGGCTGACCATTTGGACACTCAGGCACTGACCAAGGACCTCGGGGTCAGTAGGGGGCTCCATGAGATGCCCCTGATAACTTACATAGGCTTTTTTGGGAGTGGTTTGAGTGTGGGCGAGGACACAGGAGCCCCATGATCACCTATTGTCCGTGGGCCTCATGAGTTGTCAGTTCGCCCCTGGGTAGCACAGAACATAAATCCACTATTGCTGGTCGCATGACCGGCTTCCAGTGCCAGCTTCAGTGTAGAGCGCTTTTTACCATCTGTGTCCCATTTGGGAGATTTCCCTTCATTTCCTGTCCTGAAAACAGGAAGTGAGAAAACCGTTGTCACCAGAACAGGTCTTCTTACTGGACAATTTCCCATCCATTCCTGTATGGGCGACAACTCATCATTTTTGGATTTTCCCATCAATTGAAGTCTCGGTGACAATGGTGACCAAGGAAAATAGGGGTTGCTTTACTAAGGGAAAATAGGCTGTGCACTTTGCTCCAGAGCTTAGTAAATGAGGTAAAGCTTCACTTTGCAAAGAACACCCAATCACGTGCAAGGAACATATAGAAAAACAGCATTTTTGCTTGAAATTGATTGGATGATGGAAGTCAGCTGAGCTTCTGCTCATTTACTAAGTTCTAGAGCAACTGCATTTTGCAAAGTGTCCAGTCTGTTTGTCTTTAGTAAATCCACCCCATAGTGGGGGTGAAGCTTTTCAGCAGGGACATCAGCATGGCGATAGCTCAAGATATAGAAAAGTCTAGCACTCCATGCAGAACCTCCACAACATATTGAGGTCAAAAACAGGGGAAAAGACATGATCTACCTCTAAGGAGATGGAAGAAGAACATGTCTATTGCACTAGATTTTTGATGTGACCTCAGTAAATTGCAGAAGTTTTGCATGGAGTGCTGGAATTTTCTACACTTTAAGCTCCAGTATCACCGATAGCCAACCAGCAGCGTTCACAGGGTCTGGTGCTGCACTCCTGATGGCCAGGTAGTCTGTATTCCCGACTGTATGTGTCGTTTGACTGAAGGGGAAGGAAATAGAGAGGAACGTGGTATGCGGTCACTGGGAGACAGTTGTCCAATCGGACGCTGGCGCCCCACGTGACCTTGGTGGCCATCTTGGGTCAGGCAGAGTCTTGGCGCGCTTTCT